AAATGTATTTATTATTAGAAATATGATTCTATCATGAGTGTTAGAAATGCAGAGGTGAAACTAAAACTTAGCATAGAAAATAACTAGTATGGGAAAAATGTATTTGTTGTCTTATAAGAAAAACATCTTGTAAAAATGTATCTAATTCTTTTTCTGAGCATGAAGTGAACGAAAGAGGGCTAGATATAAAAATGAGATATCAAATTGTGCATTTTTTGTTTTTATTTTGCTTTTTAAGTTTTTTTTTAATTTTTAAATTATGTTTACTCTATTAGTTGTTTCAGTTTTTCTCCCTTTACCCCCCTCCATCCATTCCACCCCCACCCCCCCGGCTCCCACAGTCAATTCCCACTCTGTTGTCCATGTCTATGGATCATTCATACATGTTCTTTGTCTAGTCCCTTCTCCTCCTTTCCACCATTGTCCTCTTTCCCCATCTCCTGTGGTCACTTTCTGTTCCATGTTCCCATTCCTGTGGTTTATTTTTTCATTAGTTTATTTTGTTGAATAGATTCTCCATATAGCTGAGATCTTAAGGTATTTGTCTTTCACCAACTCGCTTATTTCACTTAGCACAATATTCTCCAGTTCCACCCATGTTGTTGCAATAGGTAGGAGTTCCATCTTCCTTCCTTCCTTCCTTCCTTCCTTCCTTCCTTCCTTCCTTCCTTCCTTCCTTCCTTCCTTCTTTCCTTCCTTCCTTCTTCTTTAAATGCAGATTGATTTTACTTATTTTTTTAAATGTCAAAGTCAATTATAAAATATTAAAAAATTTAAAACCATTATAAAGTCTCAGCAATTAAAACAACATGACACCAGCACAGAAATAATCAAGTAGATCAATGAAATAAAATGAGCATTCTAAAAACAAACATATATATCTGTCTAACAATGTAACATAGGATTAAATTGATATTTCACATCAATGGGTAAAATAAGGCTTATTCAACGAATAAGGTGCATGGACACCTATTAGTTGAAATAAAACAAATATAGAGCCCTATTTCACACATTATACAAGAAATATTCAGGTGAGTTAAAAATCAATATGTAAAATCTAAGGAGTTTTAGGAGAAAATGCAAACTAATATTTTTCTTACCTTGAAGTAAAATATTCAAACCCAGAAGCTATAAAGTAAAATAATTGACAATATGACTATATTAAACATTTAAGATTATATAGTAATATACATATTAAAAAAAGTTAAAGGACAAGTAATAGAATTGGAAAGTATTTGCCACGCATCTAAAAAAGGGTTAATAGTTTGTTTGGGTTTTTTTAGGGAAAAAAATTCTACAAACCTTTAATCAATAAATGGATAACGAATACCAAAAAGTCATTTAAAACTTTTTAAAAATAATAGGAATAGGCAAGAAATATACAAAAACAGGTTTAGTTTCAACAAACAATAAAGGAACAATTAAAATAACACATCATTGTCACAATCAGATTAATATGTATTTAAAAATATTGGTAATATCAAGTATTGACAACTGTGAAAGGAACTGGGTATTCATAGACTCTTTTTCTTCATCTTGAAGCAGTCTCTTTAGCATATTTTGCAGTGCTGGTTTGGTAGAGGTGTATTCTTTTAGCCTTCTTTTGTCTGGGAAACTCCTTATTTTGTCTTCCATTTTAATTGAGAGCCTTGCTGGGTAGAGCAGTCTTGGTTACAGGTCTTTGCTTTTCATTACTTGGAATATTTCTTGCCACTCCCTTCTGGCTTGCAGTGTTTCCGTTGAGAAGTCAGCTGCTAGCCGTACCGGGGATCCCTTATATGTTACCACCTCTTTCTCCCTTGCTGTCTTTAGGATTCTGTTTGTCTTTGATATTTGCCATTTTAATGATTATGTGTCTTGGAGTGGGCCTCATTGGGTTCCTCTTGAATGGGACCCTCTGTGCTTCCTGGACTTGCGTGACTTTTTCTTTCCTCAAATTAAGGAAGTTTTCCATCATTACTTTTTCAAACAGGTTCTCCATCCCTTCCCCATCCTCTTCTCCTTCTGTTATCCCTATTATACAGATATTATTACGTTTTACGTTGTCCTGCATTTCCCTCAACACTCATTCTTTTTGAGTCTTTATTTTCATTTTCTTGCTCTTTAGGGAAGCTTTTTTCTACCTTATCCAGTTCGCTGATTTGATCCTCAGCTTCATCTAGCCTGCTTTTGATTCCTTCTACTGTGTTCTTCAATTCCGAAACTGTATTCTTCATTTCCTCTTGTCTCTTATTGATAGTTTCTATAATCTTTTCCTGCTGATAGTTTGCAGTAAGTTCCTTTAGTTTCTCTGTAGTTTTTTGCAATTCTCTCTGAGCTCACTGAGCTCATTGAGCTTCCTTAGAAACATTGTTTGGAACGCAGTATCTGATAGTTTTCTTGCCTCTATTTCATTTAGTTCTTTTTCTCAGGATTCCTCCATTCCCTTCGAGCGGGGGGGTATTTCTTTGTCTTCTCATTATTTGTGAGACTCTTTTTTGCTTCTCCTTCTTAAATTGATCTGTCTTGATTTCCTGACTTTGTGATGTGAACTTCTATGGTAGGAGACTGCTGTTTTTACTTTCTGAATTTGTCTCTCATGATGTCAGATGTTGTCTCTGTCTGCCCTTAGGCAGTCTGTTTGAGACTTCCAGGAATCTTCTGTCTGTGGCTGTCTTCTTCAGCTGTTAACCTAGTCACTCTGCACTCAGCAGGCAGCTTATACGGCACAGGGCGGGGCGGAGTCCCTCCTGGGGGCAGGGTTATTGGGTCCTCTGCTGCTGCTGCCGCTCAGGGGGAGTGGTCTCTGCCTGAGCAAGATGGCTGCTGCTGTATGGGGGAAGAGTCAGCACCGAGATCCCACCGGCTACTCTCTCCATTCTCTTCCCAAAGCCTCCTTCCCCAGTCTCTCCTCAGACGTCTCTAGCCTACTCTGCCCCTGCCTTTGCCAGAGCCCAGGATAAGTGGCTGCAAATAAAAATTTATGCGTTGGCCCTTTTAAAGGCACTTTGTATCTCCAGCTGCCTGTCTCTGGCAGAGAGCAACCCTGCTGCTTTTTGCAGCTGGCTGTTTTCTGTGTACTTTTTGGGTTCTGGTGCTGTGGGCTGGTGATACCTGCTTTTCGTTCAGACCCCACTCTTCTCAGGGGGATCCAACTGGCCCCTCTAATATCCTTCTGGTGCTGCCACCTGTGGGTGTCCTGCCTGCCTTCTTGAGTCTCTACCGCACTCCATACCAGTTATTGTGCTAAAGCTGATTCTTGTGTCTCCGAGGTTACAAGGCTCCTCTCTCACTATTGTTCAGTTGTTTGTTCCAGGTGATTTCTCCACAATTTAGTTGTAATTCCAGGTTGGTCCTGGGAGGTGGTCAGTGTGACTGCCACTCACTCCTCCACCATCTTGATTCTCTCTAAATTGTGCATTTTTTGTTACTCAGTGATTGGCATTGGCTTTTCAGGTAAGGTCTTTTGATAACTAAATATTGAAAGTTAAAAAGATAAGAACAAAAACGGTATTATTTTCAGCATTCATGAGAATTACACTCATAAAAAGTAAATTACTGTTTTTAACCATGGTAATGTAACATGGTTTTTGTATTGGCTTGATTATCTGACATTTACTCAGGGCTTTTATATCACTCTGCCTCGGCACATTTCAGGGTCTCAGTGTTGTTTCTCAGCCTTTGTCCTCAGTTTTGTTGGAGAACCTACACATTATTTTTTAAAATAGAAGAGCCATCTTGAGAATTTGCCATTGTGGTTTTGGAATTCTACAATTGTGTCATGTTTGTAAGAAAGTAAAACTTTGAGCAGACTGTTTTGATTTTATTTTTAACCACAAGAAATTTCGTGGTCTGCTTTAATTAAAAATAAGCCTGATCGTTTCAGCTTTATTGGATTATTTATAATTGACAAATAAAGCAGTAAGATATTTAAACTATACTTTGTGGTGAATTGATATATACATACATTTTGAAAGGATTTCTCCCATATAGTTAATTAACACATCAACTCACATTTATATTTATATTTTTTATGAGAACATTTAAGTTCTACTCTGCCAAATTTTAATTATGTAGCACTGTGTTATCAACTATAATTATTATTTATACATTAGAGCCTCAGATCTTATTTTCCATATAGGTGAAAATTGTACACTTTTACCAACCTGTAACTATTTTTCTCATTTCCTTGTCCCTGAGAATCACTTTTCTAATCTCTGTTTCTGTGAGACTGACTTTTTTTTAAATTTAGATTTTCTGTATAAGTGGTGCAGGAAATCTATATTATGAACTGTAATAAAATCTATAATATAATATAACATTATATTTTCTGATAATATGGTACCATGCATGTTTATCTCAGTCTGACCTATTTCACTTAGCATAATGTCCTCAGGGTGTATCTCTTTTGTCATAAATAGCAGCATTTCCTTCTTTTCATGACTTAATAATATTCCATTGTATATACATACCATATCTTCTTTATCTATTCATCTGGTGATGGACTCTTAGGTTGTTTTCATATATTGGCTACTGTGAGTAATTTAGCTGTCTTTTTATAATCTTATTTTATCTCAAGAACTGAATATGTCTTAGAGATGTATAGAGCATGCCCAAATGAAATTTGACCTTATCCATTTACTTTGATAATAGGTACATATTTCTCTAAAAATTTAATCTCCATAAAAATTCAACTTTCATAGCAGTTAGAAACACCAATATTTTAAGTCATTACTGTTACATTGTGGGCTAAGAGGTGACTTGTGTGTGTGCATGTGGATGTGTAACCTTTTCTACATTCAGCACATTTTTTAGAATTAATACATCTTTTATAATCTGACTTACGTCACTTTAAAATACAACTTTCCTTAATTTAAAACTCCTCTTTTAGAATGTAAATTTCATTTACAGGTATTTCAATTTTATAAAAACATCTTTAAGGAGACTAGATAACTTGCTTTTTGATTTGGTTTGGTTTTTTAATTACTGCAGTTGTTTTTAAATTTGATATTTTATTTTAGGTCATATCGATGCATTTACTTCAAAGCTTTTCTTGCTAGAAGAAATTACCTCAGAAGAATTAAAAGAAAAAGTTTCAGCACTCAAGTAAGAAAGTCTATTTTGTGCTCCAACACAATCCAATTCTTGATGATTTTGAAGGAAAATCAGGAAATGGCAAAAATTAAATAAATAGTATAATTTAATCAAATTAGGGATAAATTTTGGTGTTCTGTGTTTTACACTATCTCAACTATTTTTTGTTGTTGTTGTTGTTGTTGAGGACATTTCTCTTCCTGAAGAGCTATGATTGTTAAAGAGTAAGGATTTGTTTTTGTTGTGTAATTTTACATGAATTTCTTCTGTTTTATAGGATTTCAAGTTTATTTAACATCCTCCAACACATTCTAAAGAAATTAAGTAGGTAAGTATTTTTTGGGTAGTTTCATTGATATTTTTTATTTTCTTGAATGAAAATTCATAGAAACTTTGAATCTATCTAGATTAGATAGAATTTAATCTAGAAATGTGAGATTTATTTTTTTGTGTCAAAATTGAAATTATGAAAGTAAACTGAAAAGATAATATCATTTACACTTTTCTGTAAGGCTTATTGTATTGGTTTCCTGTTGCCACTGTAACAGATTACCACAGGCCTGGTGGTTTAAAACAACACAGGTTTATTCTCTTACAGTTCTGCAGGTCAGAAACAGGAAATTATTTTTCATTGGACTAATCTCACAACAGCAGTGTTCGTTTTGGAACCTCTGAGGGGACAATCATTGCCTTGCCTTCATTTTCAGCTTCTAGGGCTGTATCCCTTGACTTATGCTCCCTTTTTCTATCCTCAAAGCTCATCACTCAAATTTCTGCTTCTGTTGTCATATTGCATCCATACACATTTGCAAAGCCGTTAAAGTAACATTGACAGTTCTGGAAATTAGGATGCGAACATCCTGGGAGACCACTATTCAGCCTGCCATAGTATATTGCTCACATTTTCGGGGTAAGGAAGCAACATAGAGCTAGTGATCAGAAGTCATTAGGTCCATGGCAAATCTCAGAATATGGACTCTCCACCCAGTCATTCATCAAACTACATACGTGAACTTGTTATGTGAACTTTTGTGTTTCTTCTGTTATGCGCTTAACAAAACATAAACTAGAAAACAATTCAAGAGTCAGGTCAAAAATCTCAAAGTTCTAACTCTCCTATTAATTATGCAACTGGATATAAGGTTTCTTATTTATAAAATGATGACACTGAATTCAGTAATTTCCTGGGTACTTTTCCATTCTGAGATTCTGTGATTCTGTGGCAGGACTTTTTATTTTATATATTCTGTTCCTCATGTAAAACACAATGATGACATATGAAATTTTCTGAATGCTTTTTGAAATTTTATTATCAATATCTTAGTTTGTGTATTAATTTTCTACTGCATCTGTAACCACAAAATTAGTGTTGTAGAACAACAAAAATTTACTATCTTGCAGTTCTACAAGTCAGAAGTCTAACAGGTCTCCCTGGGCTAAAATCAAGGTATTAGCAGGGAAGCATTCTTTTCTGTAAGGCTCTGGGTGTGCTCTGTTTCCTTGACTTTTGTATATTTTAGAGGCCATGTGCATTCCTTGACTCATGCCTCTCTTCCTCCGTCTTCAAATTTTCAAAGGTGAGTCCTGGCCGGTGGCGCAGTTGGTTGGAGTGTCACCTTGTACACCAAAAGCTTGTAGGTTTTATTCCTGGTCAGGACAAGTAACTAGGTTGCAGGTTTGACACTTCGTCAGGGTGCATACAGGGGGCTGCTGGCCAATGTTCATTCTCTTTCTCTCCCCCCGTGCCTTCCTCTCTCTCTAAAATCAGTAAATATATCCTCAGGTGAGGATTAAAAAATTGAAAAAAAAATTTTTGAATAGTTTCAAAGGTGAGTTGAGTGCTCCTCATATTACATCATTTCTGACCTTTTCCACAGTCACATCTCCCTCTGAGTCTCTTTTCTACATATAAGGACTCTCATAAATTACAGTGAGCCCACTTAGATAATCCAGGAAAAACTGACTGTTATAATCAGGTGATTAGGAACCTGAATTCCATTTTAATTCCCCTTTGCCATGTAATGTAACATTCACAGATTCTAGGGTTTAGGATATAGATGTTTTGGTGAGGCCATTTATTCACCATGTACATGGCACTTTTGTGGCACTTTCAAGGTTATCTTCTGTGGAGCATCTATCTTGTTCTTTTTGAATTCTGTTAACCAAAACCACCCTTATTTTTGTTAAAGTGAGTGAAGCTATATGATTTTTATTGATGAAAGATCTCTTTAAATGTTATTTATTCCTATGACCAAATCAACTATTCATTTCCTGATATGGAAATATGAAAGTAATTGTTTGGGAAAGAAATTCTCCAGAGGGTAAGAATAGTTTTCTGTACCTCGTTTGTCCACATCTATTATTTTTCTACATAAAAAATTAATAAGAAAGCCCTGGCCAGTGTGGCTCAGTTGGCTGGAGTGTTGTGTCATAACCAAAAGGTTGCAGGTTTGATTCTCAGTCAGGGCACATACCTGCGTTAGAGGTGCGATCCCCCATTGGTCCCTGGTCCAGGCACACTCTTATCTCTGGTCCAGGTGTGTCCGGGAGGCAAACCAATTGGTGCTTCTATCACCCTTCCTCTCTCTCTAAAAAGCAATGAAAAAATGTCTTTGGGTGAGAATAAAAAAAGAGTGAAAGTGTAACTTACCAGGTTTGTAGGCAGATCCAAATAACTAAAGTACGATTAATTCTTATTTTTTGTGATATATTGTGGGAAAGAACTGATGTTCTCAACTTAGTACCTTTGAGCTAGGAGTATAAAATCCTAAGAAAATAGAGTATATTAACCATATTCTTTTAACACTTTTATGTTGATACATTTAATTCCATAAAAGTTTTCTAAGGAAAATGCATGTTTGATATTTGACAGAACTGATTATTGTGACAGGGAGGATCATGACGGAGGCTATGGTCTGTGGAGCTTGACTGTCTGATTTTTATCCAGGCCCTGCACTCAGGACTTCGAGCATATTGCTTATAATCTCTAGTTTCTGTTTATCTCTAATATGGGCTTAATTCTTAATATTATGCACCAAAGTTTTGTTGTGGAGGATTTAATAATAAAGTGGATATAAGCAGTACAGTAGTTAATTCATGATAAATATTCAATACCTATCAGCTGTTATTGTTACTGTTATTTTTGTAGCACCTCATTGTATTGTGATTGTTCCATTGACTATTTCTGCCTCTTTTATACTCAGTGTAGTGAATGAATCACATTCACTTTTGTATGTCTATTCACCTATTATTAGATACAAAGTAGTAGATTCAATGTTGAGTGAATTAAAATGTTCTGTATAAGAATGATATGAATATACATTCATGAAATACTTTTCAGTATATGTTGTCCATGGATTCGAGAATTAAGCAGACTATTTGTTTCCCATTAAAGTATTGAAAATTTATAAATTGGCTGATATAACAGTAAAAAGAAAATAATCATATATCCTGAACTTTGGAATAATAATTAAAATTAGTTGCCTAAAAGACATGAGAGTAGTTTAAAAGACTTCTTAAATCTTATTTAGTCATAAAATTACTTTTAGAGGTGGTATTCCATTTCCATATTGTTTTTGATTTTACTCATAGACCATGATTAAGAAACGCTGTGGAGACTGACACATTGAGTTGAGTTTCATTGTGTGGATTTAGCTTGCAGGAGGGTTCCTACTTGTTGTCTCATGCAGCAGAAGATTCTTCCCTCCTGATCTACAAGACCTCTGATGGAAAAGTCACTAGGACAGCATACAATTTGCATAAAACACATTGCAGCCTCCCTGGTATTCCCTCCAGTCTCTCAGTTCCCTGGGTTCCATTAGATCCCAGTCTATTATTACCGTATCATATCCATCACGGAAGAATACCTTGCACTTTTCCACCAAAGTCACTAGGTCCCACAGTACAACAAAAGGTAAGATCTATTTTTAAATTAAATGTTCCATTGGATTGTTTATTATTGATCTATTCCACTGGCTAAATAGTATTTCAACCTGAAGCCCGTATCCGTCATAGTAATCATAACACCACTGTAAAAACTATATCCACAGGAAGGATAGATGAAGTCGTATGCTCTACTGAGTTCAGTTGTTGTGTCAGTGAAACTTTGTATCTTTTGTAAGCTTTATACGTCAACTAAAGAAAATTCTACTAGCTTGCCCAGTGGGGGCATGAATAAAGCACCCACATAATTAAATCCCTTGCTTCTATGAGAGGTGAAGTTAGGTTTTTGGTAATTTTTGTTGATGATACTGATCTATTTCATTACATATTTGAGGCAATTTGCAGAAGAATACATACAGTAAAATTATGATACAATTAAAAATTGCTAAGTAGGATATAAGAAAATATAAAAACTAGCATTAGTAATTAGGAAATGCAGTGCTTATTAAAAGTACAATAAAATGTTAAAAGACTATATTGTGTTTTGCTAAGTATGGAATAGCTCAGTATTTATTCAGTTATAATAAATGTTACTCTCTTTATAGAATCCTTCCCAGAAATATCAGCTGAATGTTTTTTTCCTCTGTCTGAAACTTCCTGTAAGGCCATGACTAGAAATATTCTTCGTCATGTTAGTCATTCTTTATATCATGGAAGAAATTCCAATTTGAGTTCAGTTGTTATAAAAGTTTTTGTTCTCTACAAACCTGAATCTCAATGTTCAGGAAACAAAAACCAGTGTATTTTCCTTCCCTGCTGCCAAAAAATCTTTGAGTCAAAAATCATTGTCTGAGTTCTATAATCTTCTCAACATGTGTGCCCCAGAACATGTGTCACTTATGTATTATGTGGCTATTGCTCCGTTCTTTTTTTTCTGTCGTTTTGAGCAAATGCGCTCAAGCCCTTTGTAAAACAGCTGGAACACAAATGCCAAAGTTTTTAAAATAATTTAGTGAATGGAGTTTTTTTATATGTTTTTCAGTTTTTTAACATTACTGTTTGGGAGGATTGTTTTAGAAATGAGAACTCCTTGCACATTCTTAGTTAACTTTGTCTAAGAAAATATATAAATGTTATTAACTAGTTGCTATATATGAAAGAATGGAGAAAGTTAGTTGTTAGCTTTTAAGTCTTTTTATCTAAAGTTTTGGTTGCCTATTTCCAGTTTTCATTTAACATCAATTGTGATTTTTATAACCTCCTAAGGCACAACTTTCTTAACTAATCTAAAAATAATTGAAAACTATTTTTCAAGGATTTATGTTCTTTCTAGAATAATTAATTCCTTTTAATTTAGAAATTCTGGTTATAGTCTCTCACCTATAACATACTTCCCTGTGGAGTGGCCTACCCCTTTTTAGTGTCAGTCCACAGTTTAATACCTTGACACAATTCTATTTGTTTAGGACTTGACCACATAAATACAAAGTTAAACAATTCAGTTATATGTATACTAGTAAGCACAGTGTTCATTGTTTAAGATACTTCATGCATTCAGGGACAAATTCTTAGTAAGATTATTCAGGGCCCAGTTGTTATACAGACTAGCATTAGGTACTGTAGAAATTCGATAATTAATGCTTGGTTTGATGTTTTCTCCAAGCCCATGGAAAGTTGTTGGTGATCTCTGACACACTGCCCTACAATCTAGCCCTTCATTTGGTGGGAATCACCTAGACTTCCTCCCTATTTCCTCCTACTTAGGCCATAGGTACGGGACTTTCTAGTCCAACCAAGGTAAGTACAGATAGGGATTCTAGCCTTAGCAGCAATAGGAAAAGACCAAAGCTTCAGGAAACTCAAGGGAAATAAGATGCTGTATAAAATAGAAATTGTCTATATATTTCATGGTGTAAAAACTCATGTAACAAATGTTTCTGCCTCTAATATGATCCCTTAGTTTCTAGTCCACTTAAATTGATGTCTCATCTCTGTGTAGTGCCTTAGGCACCAAAACCCCAAGCGTACCCCAGTAGAGCCTACCTCTGCCTCCCCTCCATAGAACGAAGCTTAATAGCAGGCTTCCTGTGCCACCCCTGACTTCTGCTTCCAGTCTTTTTGCAATGGCTCTGCGCTTATCCCTTTTCTCCTTCAATATTTTTGTAATAAACATTCATTACATACACACACACACACACACACACACAATCTTGCAGTGGACATTTCAAAATGCTTACTTTCCTCGGTGATATAGTAGATACAATTAATGTGGTTGGTATACTTTTATAGTAAATACCAGCTGCATGGGGAGTGATCTAGATAATCTGAAAGCCATAGCACTTTTCTAATTAGTATGTTAGAAAAGTAGATCACTCTGAGACAGACTGGCATACTCAAATCCCAACTCAAGTTTGCCCTTTCTAGTCATCTAATGGCAAACCACAAGATGCCCCTAAAGGGGCAAAATACTAAGTGAGGGCACCCGGGGTCTGATTTCGTTCTTAGTGAGCCAGCAGCCCTTTAGAGCGATGCTAGTACTATGTCTGTTGTTGTAGGCATATGAGAGAGAGTGCTTGGATTACAGCCAACACCCATCGGTCCAAGGTCTAGAATTCACTGGATAAGATGTGAAGGGCACAGGGTGGCTAGGGAAGGTAGAAGCTGATATGGACAGCTTTGAGGGAAGTGGTTTCAGCCTATAAAGTTTTCGGTCCTTTTCTGTGAGGCCTGACTTTCTCTATTAATCCATTTTAAAACTCTGTGCTCTCTCAGTGGCCACGGTGATGACAGCATTTCCAGATCTCACCTTCGACATGACTGTAATTAGCAAGGGATCATATCTTAAGACTTATACCTTCTCTCTTCCCTAGACAGTGTGAGCTAGAAAGTCAGGATGAATAGCAACTTGCACTGAAGAACAGTAGGCATTAAGGTAGAACCAGCACCCCAACAAAGTTTCTTCCCCCATTTCCCTCCTTTCTCTTTTTTCATGTTCTGTAGTCTTCCAAATTCTTCTTTTCCTTCTCTCTTTCTTTTTTTCTTTCTTCCTTTACTTTTTCAGCTCTTCAATTTTTCCTTTTTAACTTGGGCTCTTTTCTCTTTCAGATTTCTTCTTTTTTTTCCCTTCTTTTTGTACTCCTCTTTTTCTTGCTCTGTATCCTCCATTTTGCAATTTCTCCCTCCTCTTAACTAGCACTGACCTTCTTGTATTTCCTTTCCCTCCCTTCATAGTTTTCATTTCTTCCTCTCTCATGCCCTTCAGCTTTGTCGTTGCAGACACATTGCTAAAAAGGCCTGAGATTCCCTCATTTTCTAATTTTACATTTCAACCTCTTCCAAATATAACAGAGAGTGGCTTCCCCTTAGATTCTCTTCACCTTCCCTGATCTATCCCCTTTCCTGATTGTTACTTGAAAATTTAATACTTTAAAACTTTGTCAAATTAAAGCTTGTTTAGAAGCAGCCAGGTTGCTAGGGATCAAAAATGTGTAAAGGACCATTTATAAAGAAAGTAATGCATGTGGTAATAATACAGAGTTGACTGTATATAAATATATTGTAAACATGTTAAACTATTTTCTCTTCTTTGCTTCATCTCTTAGATTAGTGGAACAAGAATGCCTACACACAGCCGCAGGAATCCAGTTTCCATGGAAACCAAAAGCCTGCCTGCTCAGCAAGTTGAAAATGAAGGAGTGGCTCCAAATAAAAGGAAAATAACTTAAGGACTCTACCATGGAAAATGAAGGAGAAGCAGTTATAACAATGTTCAGTTTAGAAGAGTTTGAGGGGAAATACGCCTAAAAGATCAGAAGACAAGATGAACATTTTTTTTTTAGTGTCCTTGAGAGTTCTTAGAGTGCCTTGAAAAAATATGTTGGCTGTGTGAAGAAATGTTTCAGCTAAAATGGAATACTATACTCTTAACTCTTGACTTTTAAGGAAAATCTAGATATGGTTTAACATGATCATGGCAGGGAAATATGTAGAAAAGAAAATTATTTTTATAGTAGGCCTTTTCCAAAAATTATAAATAGGAAAATAATTTGCTTTTTTTCAAGAGCAATATTTACTGTTGTGCATTATTTTAATAACTTGAGTTATATAACCAGTCAGTTGCGAGGGATTCAAAATGTTAATTCTTACCACTGTCAGAGATAATTTTGAGCAACATGTTAACCTTGTTTCTGACCCACTGTGACAAGTTTTTTGCTGTTGTTGGGGTTTTTATTGTTTGTTTTTGTTTTTAATCCTCACCTGAGGAAATGTTTATTGATCTTAGAGGGAGAGGCAGGGAGAGAGAAAGAAACATTGATAGAGAGAGAAACATCAATTGGTTGCTTCCCATAAACATCCCAACCAGGGATTGAACCCACAACCTTTTGGTGCATAACATGGTGCTCCAGCCAGCTGAGCCACTTGACCAGGACTGGCAGTTGTTGTTGTTCTATTACAATTCTCCCAATTTTGCCCAATTGTGATTCTTGTAGGTTAATAAAGTTAATACCTTTAAAAACTTGGTGAAATTCCACTGCAGACTCTAAAATTTAAAATAAAAAGTTTCCTGCCTCTGAAAAGTTAAAAAATTAATATTTTTTAAGATTTTATTTATTTTTATAGAGAGAGGAAGGGAGGTAGAAAGAGCAGGAGAGAAACATCAATGTGTTGTTGCCTCTCACACGCCCCCTTCTGGGGACCTGGCTCGCATCCCAGGCATGTGCCCTGACTGGAAATTGTACTGATGACCCTTGGTATCACAGAACAGCACTCAATCCACTGACTCACACCAATCAGGGCCAAGTTAACAATTTTCTGTTGGACAATCATTTGTTCAACAACAACAACAATTTTTATTGTGTTATAGGTTTGGTGATGAATGCCTCTATCTCTTGGCACAAATTCCAGTTGCGTGCTACAATATGCTACTGAAATCAAAGAGAGGAACATGTTTTCCAGAAATAATAAGAAAAATATTATTTCAACTGATAAGGCTAATGTGTGGTAAAACATAGCTATCTTTTCCTCATCTATACTGATTAATTTTTCAGGACCACATCAATGAATTTGGAAAAAGGCAATGATCTGCTGATGTTAATGTAGCCAATTTGGACTTAAGAAGGAAGGGATGGACTTATTTAATAATTTGTATTCATGTTGTTTAATGTCCACTAAAGTTTTCAGAAATACGTATGTCATTTCTAAATCCAAGGCAATATTAGCTTTGTTTTTGCAGTTTTTGTGTGTTTTATATTAATACAAGAAATTTACATTAAGAAATCTAGAATTTTCTACAGTTCTAGAAATCTCCACTGTTATAGGTAATATTTGGGTATTTTTATCTTTAACTACCAAGTTTTGTTTCGTTGAGATTTTTTTAATCACTTATAAAATATGTTTAATTAATGAGTAATTATTAGTAAAATTGCTTTACATATTTTAATATATAATTTCCTCACCCTCCCATTTCCTTTTTAAAACATTGAGTCTTCTTTAATAGACTTGTTTTTTTTTTAACTTTGTCACATATTCCCATGTCTCAGAAATACTTTAGTTGTGAATCATTTGGCAATGATCCTAGGGAGAGTCAGGGATTCCCTTGGAATTTGCTCTTTTGAAAAAGCTAGACAGTGATTTTTTCAGGCTTTTGAATACCAGAAAGTCTTGGCTTTTATTTTTTCTAATACTACTTTTTACTTAGTAAAGTATGTGATCTTGCAAGTGATTATTTTGAAATTATTTTAGCCATACATTTGATGACTTAACTCTGATACATTTGTTTAGCCATACATTTGATTTAACTCTGATAATAGATATAAAGTTAGTCTTGGTTTTCCACATGTGCTTAATTGAGCCTTTTATAAAACATATATTTGATCATATCTTGTGTTCTTTTTCTTGATTTTTAGTTCTGAGAATGTGTAAGTAACAAAGTGACATTAACAAGATGAGCATTTTTTTCTTCTAGGGAAAGAAAAAAAACAAACTCAGTGTTAGTATTGGCAAGGATGGCCTGGCCCACTTACACCTCCATGGTGAAGGTACAGCTTATACATATCTCTTGGGAAATACTTAATTCAGTAAAAGCTTGAGTATATCTGTGTCCCACACAATCTAAAGTAGGTTCCCACTCTCTCATAATGTTTTCTTTTAACATATATCACAATACCTATTTGTTTACTTGACTTACTGCCTTTCTTCTTGAATAGACTAGATGCTCCAAAAGGGCAGGGGCATATTTGTTTCGTTCACCATTATCTAACAGACACCCAGCATAAGTGTGTCATATAGTTACTTAGTAGATATAAGTTGGATATATGACTAAATGAATAAGTAGATACAAGGATAGATTCTTTTTTTCCCAGAAGCTCGCATTCTAGTGAAGGACATAACACTGCTCTATGTAAATAAGTACTCTGGTAAAGGAATATAAGAAAGCCATCTGACCTTTCTTATTAGAAAATTAAGGCAGAATTTTCTGACATCAAGGTTGAGCTGACTCTTTTAAAAATGCGTTGAAGTTAGAAGGGAAGAGTGAAAGCTCTTCTACACAGAAAGAAGGCAGCATATGCAAAGGGGAAAGGTGGCCATGTTGTAGGCTGTGGACATGGGAGATGAGGGAAAAAGAGAAAAAGACACAGGACAGGACGGGGACAAACATGCCATCCCATGCCATTTAAATTTTGTCCTGTGCAAGGTGAGAACACGTAGTGAATTTTAATAAAAGTAACATGATAATACAATGTGCTTGAAAACGCTCTTGCCATCAGTCTAAAGAATGCAGTGGAACTGGGAAAGGAGAAAAGTTGGAAAGCTGTGTTGTAGTAATTGAAAAAATAGTAAAGGCCCTGAATGAAAGCTGTAAGTATAAGGATGGACTTACTGATAATAGGGGCGGGGGGAGGGGGCGGGGGAAGATAACTCAGTGATACGGTTGGTAGGGAAAGTCAAGTATGGCTTCATGATTCTCGTTTGGAGTACTGGGTAAATGATGATTTTATACATTAAGAGGGTAAGAGAAAGAGTGTAGAATGGAAAGAAATTCAATTAAAATGTTCCTTTCCTTTCACCACTTCTATTCCTTGAATTGGGGTTCAAATACGCTCTTACATATTGCTGCCTATAACCCCAAAACTCAGCCAGTTAAAATAAACATTCATTATCTCAGAATTTATGTGTATCAGGAGTCCGGATGCAGCTTAGCTGGGTGTCTGTCGCTCACAGTTTCTAATAAAGTTGCGGTCAAGCCGTTGGCGGAGGCTGCAGTCATTTGAAGAGTTGACTGGGGTTGGACTATCTGCTTCCAAGAAGCCTCACTCTTGCCGGTCGTGGGAGGAGTCAGTCTCTCACTGGTTATTGACAGGAAGCCTCTTCCTCACTCCATGTACCTCTCCACAGATCTGCTCAAGGGTCTTGACATAGCCGCTGGCTACCCCAGAGTGAGCAAGGAGGAAGCCACAGTCTCTTACTTCCTAGTTTTGGAAGTAAAGCACTGTCTTCTGCCATATTCTCCTTGTTAGAAATAACTTGGTTTCACCTCTTCAAGAGAGTATAGAAGGAATTTGTGAACATAATGTTTAAGCCAGCACAAATGCTAGGAACATCTTAGGGATATGGAAGAACTAGGTTTAGGGTGGAAAGGAAAGAAAGGACAGTTTTTTTAAAAAAGTCATATTACCAACATGTTAAATCTGGGATAGAGATAATCGATAATTTAAATTTTCAACTCAAGAGAAGACTGGTTGCATAAATCTAGATTTGGGAACTGGTGTATCTTTGATATTTAAAATCAGAAAAATAAAAAGATATAGCAGAAATGAGTGGAATGAAGAAAGGGCCATGAGCCCAGGGAAAACTGAAACTTCAGTAAAAGGAGGAGTTACATTGAAGTGGCTAGTAGGAAAGTCAGATTTATAAACTTAGGAAACAATGACATTCTTGATTGCCAATTGATCAGCAAAAAACTTGGGAATAATTTCACTATTTGCACCTTCTTTTGCAATTGCAAAGGGAATTGACCTGTTCATTTCCAATTGTACTTGGACTCTGGGTTTGGACACTGCAAACTTTTTAGAGAGATGAGAAGGCGTGGGTGTAGGGGAGAAAGAGGAGAGAATCCTTTTCCATTCTAATATTTTATTATCAACATACTAAATCTGAAATATCTGATGGACATACAGATAAAGATATTAAGTTGTTTATTGTGTGTTACAGGTATATTGTATGTTTTAAATGATACCTTAGAATATGTTATACCAAGATTTGTTGAGTTTCCCATTGAGATGTTGCAATAAGGGGACGCATCTGATTGTGACTTCCAGTCTTGTCATGTTCCTTTGGCTAATGCCCAGACTTCTTATCGAGGTATGTACGGGCAGGTACACAGGCATTGATCTGGGGTTTGCGTCTGATCTGAGCAAAGCTTCCTGAAAGAGTTGAGGCCCAGGTGAATATGTCTAGGATGGGCCTCTAGACTGCCTTATCAAAAAGGAAGGTTCAGGCAAGGGTTCACCTTGGCACATGTGTTTGCTTTCATTATGTGAGCTTCTGTTACTGATCATTAAGGAGCTACAAAAGGGTTGTTCTTGAATTGCTCTACCTGCATGGTACAGCCTGGTTAATTCTCTGAGGAATGGGGTGGGGGCTAGGTGTAAATTAAATGCTGATTTGAAAGTCAAGAAACAAAGATTTTGTGGCTAATGGATTGAATTTCTCCTTCCCTTTTCTTGAGAATATGCATTTCTTGGAGGGGGAAAGGAAATATTTTCTACACTTCCTATCCTGGGTTTTGCTTACACGCACACGCACACAGAGAAGGGTATGTGCATGTGAATTCCAAGAGTTGCACTGAGGTAAGGCAATGCCCCACCGATGCAGATTTCAGGTCTCTTCCAAGCATCGCATTAATGCAGCACCTGCTTCAGCCAGGCTTTGCCATCACATGAATTTCCCATTCTTGTCCCTGAATGCATGCCGTTTGGTTGGATTTATTATCACCTATCAAAACTTTGCCTGTCCTCTATGGAACTAATAATGCATTTTTTTCAGCATCTGTAGGATATAATACACTATACCAATCTCTTCGGATTTAAAGATAAATAAGATTGGTTTCTGCCTTACGGGTATTTCCTAATCTCGTTGGGGAGATATATATACACAATTAGCTGTAATACAGGGCAGAACATTCAAGTGGCAGAGTTGTGCATAAGAGAAAGAAAAAGGGGTGTTTGCATAAGAGAAACTCGTGGTAGAAATGACATTTAAGTTGGGTTTGAAAGACAATACTAACATGGACAAAAAGGAACCAGAGCATTAGAGCATGAGGGAAAATCAGATGAAAAGTGCTGATTTTAGGAAATAGCAAATGTGCTCACGTAATAAGCGTGGGAGTAAAGGACAACAAATGGGAGCTGAAGAGTTAAGTTAGAGCCCGATACTGGAAGGTATTAACTGTTACTCCCAGATTGCTTGGTTTTATTTTGGAAGCAACCAGGGCACACTTAAGGCTTTTTGAGCAAGATGGCATCAATTTTAGGAAATGTACAATATTAAAGGATTATTTAGAAAGGACAAAGACTTAGGACAAAGAGATATTTACTCTACAAATAGTGGGCAGATGGTAAAGATGTCGATTGGAACATCATTTAAAAGCAGGTACCAGAATTAACCCTGCTGCCAAAATGAGTATCTACCCCATCGAGTCACAACTACATAATAGACATTAGGTGCTGGCAACGCGAAGATAAATTGAAGGCATGGCATGTGAAACAAAATGTGTGTGGAATTATGAAGTGAGAGATTTCAAAGACAGATGAGGGTTTTCCACCTGAGCGCTGCCACTGACAAATGAAAATGTTAGAGGAATATGGATGGAGTGAAAAGACAACCAGTTGTGTCCTCAACCAAAGGTCAGCAGTACACGTAAGGTGATGTCCTGTAGAACCTATAGGCTGAAAATGGGGGTCTGGAACTTAGTGGAGAAAAATTGACTAGACAGTTGGGAGCCCATTCACCAGAAAATTGGGGCAAACGTGGTTTGGACCAAGCTGGCCTTGCTCCTACCTCCCCCTCCCCGCCCACGTTTTTCAGCTCCCTCTCTGTTTTGGCTGAAGGGCTAGGA